ATGCTCTGCAGTGAATGGGTGCCGTCAGAGTGAGAGTCCGAACAGCTGATAAAAACATCACAATAATCCACAAGTAATCCACACCACTCCAGTCCATCAATTAATGTCTTGTGAAGCGAAAAGTTTTGTGTTTTTAAGAAACAAACTCATCTACATTGTGGATGGCCTGAGGATGAGTTCATTTTGAGCACATTTTCATTTTTGGGTGAACTATTCCTTTAATTAATGTTAACAAATGGGACTTTAGTGTAAAGTGTTACCATGATTTCTATGCCATAATCTTTGATTTAACTCTGTTGCTCTTTCATTTTGTAGCATCAAATGACGGTGGATTTCTACACATCAGCACAAGCACCGGGGTCTTTGCAGGACTCTTTGTTGTCTCCATTGCAGTGTTGGTGGGGATGTTGGTATATAATGTCAGAAAAACAAGACCTATTGACCGCATGCATCTACTGTCCACTTTCTGAGATCCTTTAGTGGCCACTTTGAGTAGACGCACAAGAAACTACATCCTTTCAGACTATAAATTGAAGTTCTAGCGTATCTCATACATGAGCAGTAAATGAACAGTTTTTTGAGGTAAATGGTATAATCGCACAACAATGATCTTTGGTGTGGCTGGTATTGTCCTAATTCTTTCAACATATCTTTTTTTCCCACTTATTTCCTTCTTAACTTTCAGACAACATGCCTCACTGAACATAACACACTTATAGGGATGTATAATTATTGGAGAAACGTGAACTTTTACTCACAATACTGAGAATGAGATGGCATTACAGTGCTGTTGGAAGAACATAAACATTTACAAATGAATGTTGGTTTTAAAATAAAATGCACATTTAAGGATTTATTGTGTTGTGGTCATTTGCCAAAATACACTCTTTAGTCCATGTTGTGAGCAGAACGTGTAGTTCAGTCATTATTGTATGTACTGCTTTACTTTTAGTCATTATAAGATATGGATTTCGAAGAGTTCAGCTCACATATAAAACTGAAACAATGAAGTTAAACTATATAGTACTTTTCACACACACTTTTGAGAAAATATAAGCCACACATCACCCAAAAGAGCAAAATTAGAAAAGAATTACTAAAACTTTCACTAAAATTATTTTTTAAAAACTATAATAGTATCTCAATTATACTAAAATAACCCTGTCCATAACAAAGTAATATAATCTGCAATAAACCAGTTCCAATTGCAATCTTTCAGATTACAAGAAAACAATAGCATTTAAACTTACTTTGTATTTTTCATATTTTTTAATTTCATTTTTCTCATGGGCCAATTTAAGTTAGGAAAAGGGCACATTTTATTAAAAATATTCACATTTATCTAAACTAACTAACAATTAAAAATGTAATAAAATTAATCTAGATGTTTATCTAGATTATCACACATCAAAGCTAGAGCAGCATTTCATTTATTGTCTTCATGAATGTGGTGCTTCATTAAGTTTATGAAAACAAAATAAAAAATAGGCCAACATTATAATTATTCTCAGCAACAAACCTCTTTAGTGATTAAATCCTATAAGAAATTGTCATCTCAAAAACAATCTTGCATTCATGTCACCTAGATCAGATGACTTATGAGAAAGCAAAACTTTCTGCTGGAAAAAATGAAGAGAAAAATATGCTGCAGAAGCTGCAGGACAGGAAGTGCAAATACTCTTTAAAGTAAATCACCTATCAATGTCCCTAAATGACAGAGTTTTAATCACTTTTTTCTATAGACCCACTTTATCTCAGCATATTAGTGAATGCAGTTTTATATGTTAAAGTCATATGAATTAAATGATTTACCGTCATATGCAAAAAAAAAATGCATTATATGGTATTTGCTAGTGAAGTAAAAGGAAACATAAGAGGATTAAATAATAAAATGAAATAAAACCCTACAAAATTTTAGCTTTTATTTTTTATTATAGATTCAGTTGACATTTTACTCATAAACTTTTATTAGCAGTAAGACACACATAAACAAATAAATGCATTTGATAAAAACGTCGTTGACATCACTGTAATTTTTTTTTTTTTTTTTAAGTAAATACAACAAAGACCATTGGAGTACGTTTTACAAATATATATACTGTGTATGTATGTATATATATATATACATATATATATATACATATATATATATATATATACTATTTCAGTCTTTCCAATTTAAATGTGTCAGTTGCTGTTTCTTTGTAATTAATTGTGAAATTTCTGACTGATTTTTTTATTTATTTTTTTCCAGTGAAAAGTTTATTTATGACCTTCCCTAACATCATGGTACTGTATCAAATGTCAGATGTCATCTACAATTAATATATAAAAAGTTTTATAGTTTAATTCTTGAGGAAGAAACTAATTGTCACTGTTGCCATAGAGGCTCTCATTTATCTTTAGTCAGGTGTTTTGAGATAATTATACTTAATTAAACCAATGCACTTAAAAGAGACATTCAACCATACAGATGCCATAAGACATGCCGTCATGGAATGACTTTAAATAGCAACCAACTTCACTACACACCCATCAATCACCGTTTACAACACAAAGATTTACATTTTAGATTGGCAAGCGGGTGGAAAAAACACCCAAGTAAAAGACGCAAAAAATGCTTGATCATTGCAAAGATAACAAGGTAAAATTTCCTTTACAAGTTTCTTAAATATCCAAGCAAAGGAAATCTATGACAAAACTGGGTATAACAGATTCATGTATCAGCAGTTCATTTGAAAGATGGGATTATTTGACTAGAAGAGAGAAGTGATTACAGTATTACAGATATATTACAGTGATTTAGTATAACTATTTTCACTCAGAAATTGCTAGTAAATTTCACAAACAGTTACAAAGAAATGGCAAGTAATTAAACATGAAATTTTAAAGTAGAAAGACTGAAATAGTGTAGTTATTTTTGTTATTTTAGAAATGTTTCCTTGACAACTAGCTAAAATAAATAAGCTGAAGGGTTTTTTTAAATATGTGTTTTAATTCATTTAATGCTTAGTTCAAGTGACTTTTTAAAATATGTTTTACTTTCAGTTTTAGTTAACTATAATAATCCTAACAATATGCTGTCTCACTTCGCATATTAAGAAAAACAACAACTAAAAATGTGTAAATTAAGTCAGAATGTCATTTTTTTCATTAAACAAGCATTATATTTAGCTGTCATCATACAAACATATTTGACAGCTAGAATGCGGCAACTGAACAATCAGAATCAAGTATTTCAGAGATTATAAATATTGATATTATTTGTTATAGTGTTATTCCAGGTCATTTTCCATTGATTTCCTCTTGGATATTGCTCTTACACCAAACCCAAGGCAAACTCTGCCACTGCTTCCAAACCATGTTTTACATCGAGATTTATATTTATTTAAAAAAAAGACAAAGTGTCATATTTCTTTTGAATCTTAACAGTTGGTTTTCTTAACACAGATATGGAGATTTACTGTCTAAGATCTGAATATGTTTTATTCACCCTCATGTAAAACTGATGATTGACATAATGAGCACAGTCCAAACTCCAAAAACATGAGCTGCAGATCAATTAAAAGGAAGTTCGGCATCAGTTACTAGTTGTACGGTAATTCATTTGCTCAACTAGCTCAACTGGTTCATTTTTCTTTCAGGGTGTCATGTGTTCCCGTAAACCTTATTTCTGACATGATCAACAGACCATGATCATTCAGATCTTTGATATTCTGAAAACAAAAATAAAAAATCATTTCAAAGACAACGCCTCTTTAAAACAAAACCAAAGAGTCAGATGCAAGTTTGTGGTTGCATTCTTTCGTACATGCAATTGAAATGTTTGTGCAAATAATAAAAATAAAGTGCAAAAAAGTGCATATATTTGTATATGCTATATATGCTATATTAACGTATTTCACTTGTATACAGTATGCATGTATATGCTATATTAACATATTTCAGTTTTAATAAAAAACTTGTGGTCACAATGGTGTGTCTAACCACAAAGATGTGAAAAGAAAATGTACATGCCAATAAATCATTAGCAGTAATTAAACCAAGATGAGTATTCTGTGTTTTCCTTTTCTGGAATTCATGACTGTCATTTCCTCCATCAGATACAATAAATCAGAAACCTGTTCCCAGATGCAGAAGACATCGGTTCTGATCAGGATGTCTCATTGCTGAAACGTAAGGACCTAACAATTTCTAGTGCAGGATCCCTCAGACTTTCTATTATTCTACGTCTCTTCTCCTTTTCAGGGCAATCACTGCCCTCTATCATCACTGTGGCCTGTTCAAGCCAATACTCAACTTGTTCCTCTCCCATTGGGGTAGGGGTGATACCAGAAAACACTCGAAGTCGACAATAACTGTGACTCTCAACCATACTTCTGTTAGACTGCCTCATCACTTCAGCCATAGCATGAATGAAGAATTCTTCAGTACCTTTAGCAGGTGCTGGGGTAGCTACATAATCTTGGAGGTCAGCAACTGTTTTACCTTCAGCTTGCAAGAAATTCTGTAGCTTGCCAACAAAGTCATCTGACGCATCTGACGAATCAGGCCTTGGATCAACCACCACTATGTGCCAAACAGTAGTATCATCATCACTCCTCACTTCAGGAGGAACGATCTGTGGTGTTATTTCTTCTCTACATTCACATAGAACCAGCAAACCTCCTGCTTCAACACTGTAGGTCCTTCCTCTTACTCAACCCCAACAGCGCACAGTTTGCATCAATTCTTCAATTTGGCTTATGCTGACATCCTCTGCGACCCCAGCAATCAGTATAGCATGAGCTGGATCAAGTCCTTCTCCTTTACACCAACTACTGAGTGTATCTTGGTATTTTTTTGTACAATACAGGCTCCATGATAGTTCTCATAAATGAAAACAAAGAAATTTAGATGCAACTGGACATCCTAGATAACCACAAATTTATAAAACCCATCCCAGCGGTGCCTCCATTTTGTGTAACACCCCCTTCCTGCCACTGGGAATTTTATGGGTGATGCCCAGGTTCTTTAATATAATAGGTTTAATTTGTTTAAATTCATGCTTATTAGGTTATTGCATAGGTTATTATTCACAAAGTACTCAATTATATTATAAGGAAATAAAATTCACAGGCCCAACAGTTTAGGTTCTCTCGAAGTGTAACTTTATACAACATTAACATAAACTTTACTTACAAATATAAAACCGTAACAAATTCTGCAGCAGGGGCTACACATTTATTTGCATTTCACATGTATACATTTATGCATTTGGCATTATGTTTTTTTATTTTTTGAGGCAGGATGTTAGACTGGTTGCTTACTCAAAATATACACTCTCAGAAAAAGGTACAAAAGCTGTCAAATAGGCAGTACCTTTTCAAAAGGTATAAATATGTAACATAAAGGTTCTAATATGTACCATTTAGGGGTAAATAAGGAACAAATGTAAAACTTTTTAAAGGGTATCACCCCAGTGACAGTTTTTGTACCTTTGTGCATTCATCTAATTCAACCTTCTTCATTACGCACGCCTGAATAGTCTTTATAAGGTTGTTAAAAGTTAAATAGAGTTGAATGAACTACCACTTTAAAGGGGTCATCTGATGCCCATTTTCCACAAGTTGATATGATTTTTTAGGGTCTTAATGAAAAGTCTATAACATACTTTGGTTAAAATTTCTCAATGGTAGTGTGAAAAACACCCTTTTTACCTTGTCAAAATCAGCTCTGCAGAAATCAACCCATTTTTTTGCATGTTGCTTTAAATGCTAATGAGCTTTGCTGACCCCGCCCCTCACCCTAAGTTGGCTTGTCAACCGCCATAAAATCGTACAAGAAGAAGAAGACCCCGTCACCCCGCCCCTCTCTTCTGTGGGGTGACGAACCATGCTCTGAGAGACTGTTTACTTTAGCCGCATTTAGCCGCAAAACTTGCTAGCTAGCACGTTATTAGGAACAGCGATTGCCAAGATTCATAAAATACCCTTTATACTCACGTCTGCTGTAAGTGAAGCTGGATCACGAATGATTATGAAAAATTAAATACTTTAATTAAAAGTTATAAACTGTTTTTAACTCAACTGAATTCTGAATAGCATATTTCTGCCATGCATACTACATAAATAATTTCTGGCAGATATAAAGCTATGGCAGTAAGAGTAACAAGAGTAGAATTGTATGTTATTCCAAATTCAGCCATTGTCTGTGGTAAAAATAAAAACTGCTTCTGGTTGTTTTGGTGTGCCATGCTCTGTAGCACCTACCAGAGGGCAGGAGTTCAAAGAGGTTGTGCTTTTGGTGTGATGTCTTTGTTTTGTTTTGTTTCAGTATGTAGTTTTGTTTTTAGTTGCCTTCTTAAACAAAAAAAAAAGACTGTTAGAGAGGAACACGGGGCATGATGGCCTGTCATTGTAAAATTGCAAAGAAATTTTGGAACATGGTTGTGCACAATTAAAGTTTCTCAATGTTTTATTGTTGTGTTTTTTTGTCATCTAGAATCATTGATGTCATCATTAGTGGACCACTGAACAGCACAAAGTACAAAACCACCACTGGGGAATATGTGATCTACTGGACACCAACTGCAGAAAACTATGGCCAACACTTTCCATTTTGCTTCATCGCAGAAGGACAATACAGTATGTTTACTAAGTAAATGTACTTTAAAAAATTTTTAGCCAGTTTAAAATCACATTATGAGAAACACCTTTCTATTTTAAGGTTTGATATTTTCCACTCTGAGATGAGGTGCGTTGTTGCAAAGGTGAATGCAGAAGGTGTGTAAATCAGTTTATCAATTCAATTTATTTAATTCCTTTTTTATGATATTGCAGACCCAAATAATAATGGCATTCATGAGTGACATGAAGTAAATTAACTTATGAATTAAAAAATAGGTAATTAAATGAATTATATTAAATCAAAATTGACATTCTGTGGCTTTTAGTCCATGTCTATTATCATCTGTATGCTAGTGTGCACCTAAAGGTTGACAAAATTAACCTTTAGCAAATAAACACATTTAAAATGTACAATATTTATCTACTTGGGAAACCAGACCACAAGTATTGTTGACTCATCTTGTACTACACATTTGTTCCTGTTCATTTGATGTTGTTGTTGTTCAAATTTCTTGCTCTGATGAAATATGTACATTTGCATGTTATTAATGTTATTTTCAGGACCTGTGGCGCATGTAACCTGTACTCAAAACTCAATGTCAGTGACAGTTGAGAGATCCTCCATCAAAAACCTCCATGGTGACCACTTGAGACTGATAAATCCGTCTTGTCGGGTTTACACCAACCGTACCTACGTGTTCACCAACACACTTCTAAATGAATGTGGCACTCAGATTGAGGTGAGCAGTTTTATAATCAACATATACAATCAAAATTAACAATCAGATCCTGTGAATTCCAGAGCTTAACTATTTCACAACTTCTGTTTCTTTATAGGAGAACAATAATGAACTCATCTTCAAGAATAAAATCATTACATTCGATGATCCCAGGGACATTATAACCAGAAAGAATAAGCTAGAAATTGAAATCCTGTGCAAGTACCAGAAAAGAACCAACGTTACGCTGGAGTTTGATACTCACAGACCACCAATCATCATCTCAGAAAAAGGTTTTGGCACATTCAACTATCAGTTTGAGTTTTATGTTTCTGAAAATTTCCACACCAGCAGGGGTTCAGAATCTTACCCGCTTGAGTACGATGTGGGCGATAAGATCTACATGAAGATCGAGCCCGTCACTCCAGTCCTAAACACTGAGATCTTCCTCGAGTCGTGTGTGGCTACACCTTACGATAATCCCAATTACCCAATCTCCTATCCCATCATAAAGAATGGGTGAGATTCTACAAACGTTATTGATCATTTACACTTTTTACTTATGCCAATGTTACACGTTACACTTGTCTTATCAGTTTGTCACAAATTAATCATGTGCTTTTCCGTATTTCATATCTTAATATTTTAAAATGTAATTTATTCCTGTGATCAAAGCTGAATTTTCAGCATAATTACTTCAGCATAATTACTTCAGCATAAGACACTTAGTCTTCAGTGTCACATCCTCCTTCAGAAATCACTCTAATATGCTGATTTGCAGCTCAAGAAACATTTCTTATTATTATCAATGTTGAAAACAGTTTTGCTGCAAAAAAAATTGTGTGGAAACATGATAATGTTTTCAGGATTCCTTGCTGTATGTCAAAAGAACAGCATTTATTCAAAATAGAAATCTTTACTGTCACTTTAACCCCTTAACTGTCACCCCCCATTTTTTTAAATAGGCATGAAAGTGCACTATCCAAACTTAAATTGTTGTAATTTATAAACACTTTGTAATACAGACCTCAGGTTGGTCTCTTTTTAAAGAAGAACATCAGCAGATTATTGCACAAGAAATTTTTTAAAACATTAAAGTACCAAAAAGTTATAGAAGTTTAAATATACTGTAAATAAAATGCACTATATTAATTATATTTTTTTATATAATAAATATTTTACATAACAGGTTTTACTCTAAAATTGGTATAAAATTAAAGCCTTATGTCTAAATAAGTTATGTTCCAAATTTGAAGTTGATATGAAAAAAATGAGGTTCCTGTGAGATTTTATTTAGGGCGTTATACCACAAAGAGCCCCCGGGTGCCATCCAAACTCCATTGAATTTTTTTAATGCATTTTTCTGTCACAAATGTCTAGATTTCTCTGTCAATATTAATTCTCAAAATAACCACCAAATATGGAATCATGAGACTCAGACCTTTCCAATGATATGTTTTTTGTCAAGATTATAAAAAGGTTTGATTGTAAAAGACCTGTAATGTATTTTGTAATATGACACTTGACACTGCCCACTAAGGGGGAGGAGACGGCCAAAAGATTTTAAAGTACCATTTCCATGGTAACGCAATGTCCGATTTCAAAATGGTTTTCACAGGAAGAATCTTGGGCTTCTAAGCTTTCAAATGATATATCATTTATGATGATTACTAAAATATTTGATCGAGAAAAAGGACAACAACAAAAAGAGCGCCAAGCGTCTCACAGGTGGGACGGTGACAGTTATTAAAGAATATAAAGTGTATTTGCCAAATAAAAATATTAATTTCTTAAAAAGAAATTACTAACCCCACATTTTTGGTTGATTGATTAATTAATTAATTATCTGGGCGCAATATGTTACATACAAATGCGAGGGTGATGTATTAGTAAAAACTGAAATTTTAAATAGAACACACTTTTTATTTTTATATGTGAATGGAACATTTTACAACAAATCTTTGGTCGCCCCTAGCTTGCGTTTGTCATTTTTTATTATTGTTTGATTTTTAATAATATTTAAAAAATGTCATCTTTCATTCTGACGGCAAATGGTCTAGTGACACTGTGTTTAATATGTGGTGAAGTTTTGCTGTCATGCAGTTGCATTAAGGGCTGCTAACATGTTTTAAGTGTTTTTCTGAAAGTGAGGTTTCTTCTCATATACTCTGATATAGACTCCATAAGAGAATACAGCACATCTCTACAAGTAAAATAAAATAGAAATATTTCTGTTTAACCCTGTCTTCTGTCACTGTCTCTTATCTTTTCGTCTTCCTCACTTCCCTCTCTAGGTGTTCATCAGCTGCTCAATCATCATATACCAGGCGAACAATCCCAACACCCGCTGCTCTCAGGGCTGCGTCAACAGCACAGTCGCTCCACCGTCCCACCACCATCACAAAAGAGAGGCTCCCATCCAGAGCGCCAGTCACTTCATCTCCCAGGGGCCCCTGCGGCTGAAGAGAAGTGCATCACGTAAGACATCTCGTTCATTAGCTTATGTAGCAGATGACTGTATACTAAACAAATGGTGCTAACCGTTTCAACCTTTACTCACATTTCAGAGGTCACCGTAAGCCCGGGACTGAGTCTAAACCTTGTTGTCATCGCTATTTGTCTCGTGGCAACAGTTGCCATGGTGTGTGGAGTGATCGTCTACAGAGCCAGAGGGCAAAGGATCAGATACAAACCTGTGCCATCGCACGAGTTTTAGTCATGTCAGCTCTGTTTTTTATTTTTCAAAGCATAATGCTTTATTTTTCCTGTGAAAACAGAGAATTAGCAAGAGTGCAATTATTGGTGTGCTTTCAAAAAGCTGTGATGGGAATCCCTGGTCAAAGTGTGTTTTTCTTTCTTTTGTAATCATTTTCAGTAAAGTAATGTGAGTTTAAAACAGATTGGGAATATATCAGCGGTCACAGTTCTCACTATTAACTAACAATTAACTATGACTATATATATATATACAGTGGGTACGGAAAGTATTCAGGCCCCCTTAAATTTTTTACTCTTTGTTATATTGCAGCCATTCGCTAAAATCATTTAAGTTAATTTTTTTTCCTCATTAATGTACACACAGCACCCCATATTGACAGAAAAACACAGAATTGTTGACATTTTTGCAGATTTATTAAAAAAGAAAAAAACACATGCTGTGTGGTATCGGCATTTGGTATCGGGGCATTTTAACGAGTACAGGAGCTCAGTATCGGTATCAGTGCATCCCTAATAACGAGATTAAAATATTTTAACACAGTTAACGCACCGACAGTTAACGCACTGGCCTTGCCCCCAAATCTGTACGTCATCTTACATTTCATACAGTTGACTGTTGACAAATATGATGTAGGGCAACAACTCCATAAATGCAGTTATGCCCTAAAATTCAAGATATGGGTGCAAAAAATGTTTTTGTCTCATATTTATATCATACAATATCGATATCACACGAGCAGGGAGAGCAGTAGGCTATAACACAAGTGCTGTTTTTGACCCGAATATCAGAGTTTAAATGCGATTTTATACAACAGTTCAGTAAGAAGTTGATATTCTGTTATATTTTAAACACAATATTATGTATTATTGCTCAATTTTGCAAAGAATATATTTCCTTTAAAGCCACAGCAGAACTGTTGTGTGTCTCTGAGCAACACAGCGGTGTTTAGTTTCTGAATGAATC